TCACGGGATCAAAAGAACAAAAACTCCATCCAGTGACAAAGTGGGCGATTTCCACCAAACCGTTGCCAGGAAAAGAGGTACGACCTTGTCCTACCTCCGACTATCCACCAAAGCTTATCTGTGCTTGTCGACATACACCGGCGATTGTTCGAATGTTTAATAATATAACCAAATATTCGGTCTTTCACCGACGTATTTTGTATGTGTCGACATTTACCGGAGAATATCGACATTCTCTAATTTCGCGGTCTTTCACAATAACATATACACTGCTTTAACCGAATCTATTTTGGCTTCCCAACGAGTGTCACATAATGGTTTAAATGCTGCTTCAATTGCTTCAATAAACTTTATAAATGATTCATTCATAATTAATCTTTTATCTTCAAAATTTACATACCTAATAATAATTGAAGTTTGTTCCTTATGGGAAATATCAGGAGTACAATCCATTTGAATACTATAGTATGTGGCTGCTTTTATATCGTCTTTAATTTTGTTAAGGACTTCATCTCCTAACGCAGAAATAATTTGTTCTTGTCATCTATGTGCTAAATGATGCACAATTCTGTTTATATGATACATTAGAACAGACGCGGGGTCCCGGTGCACAGCATCCTCCGCACCCCCCGATGGCCGGCCCTGCCCCCTGGTGGTACAAATTTCCCCCTCGTATGTATGGCTTGTAACTTTAATATACCAGTGAAAAAAGTGATTGTTTGATTAGAATTGCATGGAGAGCGTTGCCTGATAAAAAGCTGTTTTAATATGGTAATGTTTTATCCAGCTGCAAAAGGATGAGCAAACCAATGAATGGCTAATCCCGTTTGAAATGAAACGGGATTAGCCATTGTTTGCTTATCCAGTGTTATTAAAGCCGCTTTATTAGGCTGTCGTCTATGGTATTCCTACTGTTTAGGTATCTCATTCATGTTGAGATTGAGAAATAAAGTATGAGAAATTTGAGAATATTTTAAGAAAATATTTATTGGAATTTTTTATTAATATTATTCTAAGAAAGGAAAGAGAATTTGTAAGGAAATATTTCGGAGAACTTCAAAATGATTTATAACAATATATGAGATAAATATTGAAGACTTAAATAAATAGTCAATAATTATAAATTAAAATCTATATATTAATTTTTAAATAATTTCTAAAAATGAGAAAATTATACGGTTTAAGTGCGGACCTGTTACATTTATTTACTTGGCAACACTTTCAATGAAACGCCATTTTGAATAAATTAACCAAATAAATAAATTATCTTAATTTAAATTGGTGAAGTTAAAATATTTTAAGAATTCATTTCGTTTTTTTTAATTAAAATCCTTTTAAAATTAATTACGGTGTATCATCATCGTCTACAAAATTTATCATTATTATTGCATCGCATTCCCCTTTTTAAAAATCTATTTTATAAATAAATTTTCATTACATATTTGATTCGTCTAACATTTATACGAAAAGCAATTTAAAGATCAAAAGTCCACTTCCTGTTTTAAATTCTAAGAAGTTATCGGAAGTGACGTCATCGATAAACGATTTTCAAAAAATGCTTTCTTAATATATTAAAAAAAACCGGAAGCAGACGATAAAGGAGACGGTCACGTGACAGATGACCCACAAGCAGGTTCGCATAGTGCACATCTCTACGTCAAACTGACGTCATTTTTTATTCTCGCCCATTGTAAAACTCAAGCGATGACGTCAATTTGACGTATTTCATACTTTCTATGCCAGACGAACCGAGCCTACATTCGGAATGTTTATTATTATTATTTTTTAAGTTACTTCCGTCGCTTCCGTTTAGATTCTAAGAACAAGTGGCCGGATGTTAACGTAATACTTTCTAGATTTACTCAATCTCTGGTTTTCCAAGGGGATGCGGCTCTTATATAGAGATGTTCATTTCTCGAGACTTAATAAACACGTCACACGTCTTTCTATTTCGTTTCCATGGGAACGCTGTTTAGGTAAGATAAACTCCTCTGATTATTAAATTTGTTTTTACTTGCGTAACGTTTTTGCGTTGTTCGGAATTAGTTTATTAAACTGACCTTTTATTCTGTCTCGTAAGTACTTTTATTTGTATTAATACAGGGCCCGATCACATTATTACGTAAGTTTGACGTCATTTTTATAGAATTTCGTGACGTCGAGCTGACGTAAAAGCACGCGCCATCTCGACCAATCGAACAGACGTATTGATGACATACTATACGTCTTGTATTTGATTTATACGCATTTCTATTGGGTAAAATGTAAAAATAAGGTGATATTATTGTTATTTATACCAGGATATTGCGGTAATATGACGTGTAAACTCATAATTATTCTGGAGAATGGTATCTGAAATTAACGGCAATGTTAAATTAAGGCAGTTTTTTTGGAAAGAGGTGCGAAGTTTCGTTTTATTTTGACTTCTACACGCTGTTGCGTATAACCGGGCCTTCTTTTTAACCAGGGTTTATTATATCTTAGGGAGTGAACCCACATAAATTCGTATTAATTAAAAAATCCAACAACCACGACACTCCTCTATCTTCCTAACCCTTTGACCTTTCACCACCGAAATTTAGTAGCATCAAGATCCCTTACATACAAGTTACCGTGCCAAATTTCGTTTCTTTATCTTCACCCCGTTCTGAGATATTAACGCCCATACAAACACATACATATCCACGGAAGTTTTTGATATTTTTGGGGTTCAGGGGTTTCAAAACGTGGGCATTTACAAAAAACTCGGAGGGTCAAATTTGAAATGATTCCAATACTTTCCCTTGTTATGTATGCATAACGGCCTGGAAGTGCAAAAACCTGTATGGTTACCATAAAGATTTTTAATCACGAATTTGTTTGGGTTCACTCCCTTCGATACAACTAAAGTCTAAGTACTCGAATTATACACAATAAAGGATCTTAATCTACGTAAAGAATCCTAGATCATAGAATTTGATAGCGCGATTAACATACTATTCATGTGTACTTTCAGAAATGTCGTCATGTCCGTCCACAGAGAAATCCTCGTCCTGTCCGTGTTGAGCATCTTGCCTTACGCGTCGTCGGACTGTTTAGAATTTTGGAAGCAATGGAGAACGTGCCCATCCGATTTATTCGGAACATTCTCCGACCTTTTGTGCTTCCATCATATAAACAATACCAATCAAGCCGTAATAACTAAATCGTCTCCGAAACAAGCCGGAATTGTTTGCCATACGAACAAATTTCCAATCTCCCTCTTCAATTGCTTACCGTTAGAGAATACAACATCCATCATATTCACGAATTGTCCGTTTCCGCGTGCTCCACTTCACCAGTTTTTCCACGACGAAACTTTACAGCAGTTAGATATAAACTTCAACAAAGTTCAGAATCAGGATCGCCCTCTGATCATCAATGGGTACCCAGTCTTAGAAATGATTAAGCTGCAAACTATTTATACCATGGATTACTTTGATTTGCAGCTCGGTAATCTACCATCTTTGCAGACGCTCATTATTTATGTCTACAACTTCACAGAAATGCCGAGAAAGCCATTTCAGAATGTTCCTCGACTTCACCAATTGTTGATATCGGAAGGCCCACTGGAGACTCTACCTGATGATTTCTTTCACGGGATTACAAACTTCACAGAGATAGATCTAAGCGTGAACCGCTTGAAAAACTTCCAAGCTGCACTGTTGAAAGATGCATCTAATTTAATTAGGCTCAATTTATCACACAATTACTTGACAGAATTAGATCGAGAAGTGTTTCAACCAACGAAAAACCTTGAGCATTTGTATCTCGATAACAACAGGATAACGGCGCTACCTGAAGACATCTTCAGAACATTAATTAGCTTAAAATTTCTTACGTTGAACAATAATAATATCTCGGAGTTACACGAGAACACCTTTCATTATCTGAGAAATCTCCAGATACTTTCACTGGAGCGTAACAACATTGAAAGTTTACGTGAAAACCTCTTTGCAAATTCGGGATCATTGATTTGGCTGGATTTACAACACAACAGAATCAGAACACTGCCAAAAAACATGTTTAAACACCAAACAATTCTTCACCATCTCGATCTCTCGGACAATCAAATTACAGAATTTAACTCTCTCACCCCATTTGGCTTCAGTAATTATCTCTTTAGAGTGAATATATCCAGAAATCGACTGAAAGAGGTGCCAAATATTACGTGGCAGGTGTATAACATCAGCAGTATCGATCTCAGCCATAACTCTATAAGCAGTTTAACCTTCCCGGAAGGGTTGTTCCAAGACTGTGTTCTAGATCTTCGATATAACCAAGTCCATTCGGTCCCGGACACAATGGGCCTGCCCCCAGATCACGTCTTTTCGTATCGTATTTTCGTAGAAGGTAATCCATTTAAGTGCAATTGTACTTTGTCGACATTTGTGAAGGCTCTTCGGGTGCTTCCCATACGAGACAAGGAGGCGTTGGAATGCGATGCACCGTGGTTTCATAAATACGAAAAAGTGCTAACGTTAAACGAAGAAAGCCTTTGCTTAAATGATATTCTATGCCCCGTGGGTTGCGAATGCGCAAAAATGAGGAGTGGCGAAGTACACATCAATTGTAGCAATGTTGCAAGAACACACACGCCCACGAATCTTCCAGCACTCACAACATCTCTTAACCTAGATAACAATTCCATTGCAGAGGTGTCACTCACAGGGTCTTGGTCAGAATTGAAGCATTTGAGCCTCAGTAATAATTTATTGTTTTCTTTAAACGAATTCATTCCCCCGCGTGCCTTAAAAACACTAGCAGTTGACGGTAACAGGCTTTCGGATTTACCACAGTCTCTGATGGATCACGTTGAAGCGATAGAGGATTTTAAAATATATTTGGCAGACAATGCCTGGATGTGTAATTGCCACGCGATATCTCTGAAGAAGTGGTTTATGAGGAATTTACCGAAAATACAGGATTCCATGAGAACTTATTGTTTAAATAATCTCTTAACTGGAGAACGCTCCTTACTAGTCGAGACTCGAGTAGAAGAATTCATCTGTTCGTCTTCTGTTCGAAACACCAAATCGTTGTTGTTGTTGTTTATTACAGTTTTTATATTATTGTTGTGTAAATAACTGTTTATAAATTTTATTAAAGATTTTTCGTTATTTAAGAGGAAACATTCTTAACGCAAAATTCACATCTCGATTTTTGACACGTGCGGTTTTCTCAGGAATGCAAAATTTGAGTGTAGAAACAATATAAGTTTTAGTTACAATATCTGTCACTGGGTGGCACTGCTTAAAGGAGGCAAACTCTTGCGTGACATCACAGAAGCAACCGGTGACGTACAAAAACAGAAGAGATACACGAAAAGAGCTGGGGTGATTCGGTGATCGACTTTTCTGCTGTGGTCCAAGTGTCGTTTGAGTGTCTTGGTGACACGGCTCAAATCTTTACGGGACCTCAGCCTATTTTCCAATAATTTCGCAATAGAGGAGGAGGAGGAGGAGGAGGAGGAGGCTTAAGCGAGTGTAAGAAAGGAAACGTGATAAAAGTTTTTCGTTACATGGCGCCATCCAATGAAAGAAATTGTAACTAGAATTTTCAGTGTTGTACTTAACAATATCCAGGGCAGTGCCGTGATGCAGAGCACCGTAAGGGGGCGGCATTTCGACGATTGCATCATACTGAGTAAATTTACCGCATGGCCCTGACACTACCATTAAGTATCTCTGAGAGAACCGCGTGTTTAGGTTCAAAATTCGATAAATTTTGAGTTGTTCTGACATTTTGGTCACTAGTATTGTGTGTATACGTACATAAATTAATACAATCATGTACGTATGTAGTGGAACCTCCATATAACGCCTCTCTAGAAAACTTGAGTGGTAGACCTACATTAATTCTTGTTTGGGGCACCTCGGTTTAGCGCCGCGCTCGATTTGGCGGCGTTAAATAGAAGTTTGATTGTAAACACAAGCCGGCGATACAATACACGAAACACTGTTTCTGAACTCAAATTGAAATTTTTCGAAATCGACGCTAAATCGAGGTATACCAAACAGTAAGAACTGCACGTAGTAACGAGGTTCTCGAACAGATTTAGTTTAGTTTAATTTATATTTGCTAGGAATTTCGGTATTTGAAATTCGATCAAATCCGCGAGGCTTTCATCAAAATATGAGGACAATAAGATTTACGAGACTATTGTTCTTTTGAATTACGTTTCCACTGTTCGCGCGTATCGAATGTTTTATAAATAATTAAATTTAAAGTGAATCAACCTTTCGAATATTAAAAAAAATCACTATATCGAAATGCAATGAGCATTAATAAGCAACATAAGCAAATTATTTGCTATCCCGTATCACGTGATTGCATGCCTTCGATGCCTCTCAAAATAACAAAACTTTTTATTTAGCACCAATAAACCATGAAATTTCCGATCCGGATTCGAACCCGGATCCTCTCTCTCTCTCACTCACTGAATCTATAATATATAATTGGCAAAGTAATTAAAATCTTATGAATATTAAACGATTATATTGAGGTGGATCGTGCTTCGAACGCTAATTCGAAGTAAGGTCATCCATGCAAGAAGCCAGGTAATGACTCATTGAAAATGAAACAATAATAAACATTTATTGTAAACATCACTCTGGGTTCATTGCATCAAAAATACAATAATGTATATTATTGGCACAACAACTCAGCTTTGCAATTTGGGACACCAACCGACATTTTTATACGGGCCTAACGCCATAGAGATTCCAGCCTTTTGATAGAGCGCCTTAGAAATCTGTCCCCCCCTTTTAACATCCGAATTAGAAAAATTACACGCGTGTCCTTATTTTAATGCTTTCTGGCGGGCTTAGACAATTCCAATTGCGAAAAGGTCTGCAGCGCGCTGGGGAAGCAAACTGAGGGTGAGGTATTCTTCATTCTGACACACAGTATTCCAGTCATCAAGCAGGCGGCCAGCAAAACCACGACCGTGATAATTAACGCAGCCACGAAACTGGGCGTAGACAGACACACGTCACCTTCAGCCACTTGGCGCATGCCCGAAGCGAGAGTGAGAGTGCCGTTTCTGTCTTTTGATCCCGATATATCTTCCGGTGTTACGACCCTGAAACCGCGTAACAGTTTAATTGGTTCGGTTACCGTGCTGTCCGATCTCTTCCTCCTTGTAGTATTGTTATAAGACCTTGGTTCCACCGAATAATCTGGGCAATATCCCGGGCACTGATACTTGCAGATCTCCAGGTTGCATTCTAGAAACACCTCCATTTTATCAGGGAAGCGAAAAGCCTGAAAGAAGGCGTAAGAAATGACAGAGGCTCCGGTGTTGCCGGTCTGCTTAGTCTTTTGCCAAGGGCCCATTAGTTTCTTCTTCAGAACGCACCCGCGTGCGTCCGTCAGTTGAACTGCGTTTTTGAGATCCCCGTCGTGCGCTATGCAATCCTTCACGTGCATGTCGAAGTCCTCCGATCCTACAACGTATATTACCATAGTCAAAGTGTCACCAATTTTGACTAGCCCCGTAACAGAAGGGGCAAACGGTCCCTTACCCAACTGAATGTCCATGTAGCTGTCGACTGTATCCCCGCTGTATGTTACGCTGATTATATCCAGCATGTCTACGTTAATAGAAGAGGTAACCGTTTTGTCGAACTGCCCCTGCCACAAACAACGAATCCTCCTAGCAGTGTCCCACACCTCCTGTATACCCGGTTCGTTCTGTATAACGATAGTATTTTCTAAATAAGCTTGACCCCCGTGGTTGTACTCGTCCACAAAAGTGGTGCCGCATCGATCCGTAAAGATGACAAATTCGTAGGACTTTTGACCTTCGTTAGGTCCCACGTAACGACAGCTATGGTCGCTATAGTAACCCTGCGTTACAATTTACAAAATTAATACACCTAAAAAACATAATTACGCAATATAGTAGTAACAACTTACTTTGGAATAGATGAGCCCGTTGAAGGGTTGGTCGAATTCTATTTTGACAGACAGACGGCCTTTCTGGCATTGCACGTCGATCGATTTAATCCTTGCCATGTGACTAGGGTGGATTGGAAAGTAATCGGGCTTATGCGGAGGATAATAACCCGAGTGGAAGCCCGAGATAGTCTGAAATGTAACTAAAATCTGGAAAAAAAATTAAAATTTGCAGCATCAAAGGTGCCACACTGAACGACAGCTTCTCTGTTTATTGTTATAAACATGGGTAATTTTGGAAACAGCAAGGCCCGCTAACCTCGTGTTACCAGACACTAGTTTAACCATAAACTACCCCAAGCGCGGTGGGCGATTTCGAACCCAAAATGGCCTCATGCAGCATAACTAACGTAAGTCCAATGACGAATCCTTTCAACACTGGATGCGCTTGCCATAATTTGACACACTTCAGTAATTGTAATCGGATTAAACTAGAGAAGCCATCGCTTGAATTTTAGTAAAGATACTTCAAACACTTACCGCGATAATCCTGGAAAACAATTCCGCCATTTTGGAGGAGTTCAACACCAATCTACATAAGAAAATTGGGGGTATGAAACGACGCTGACACATCCAAAAGACCGAAATTTAAGTGAAGATCCATATGTTAACTTGATTTTCCGAGCTACATTTTCCTGACAAATGCATGAATCAGCTGGTTTCTGAACGGTTTATGAGAGGAACGTCCTACATAAGGAGGAAGTATCCCTTCTCACGTGATCCGAGGAGGAAGATTGATGCTTCGACACCTATGTTACTGGGTTAGTGGTATTTTTATAAATAATATATTTGTGATTGGGATGCGGAAACGGAACACGGTCCACGATAATTAAAAAAATAAAAAATAAAACACAAATTTCCGAGAAATTCCACATAGTCTAGTCGTGGATCTTATCAATCCATTGTAGGATAAGTAGATTAGTGGAACTTTAAAGCCAGTATTGTAGGTTAATCGGTGTTAAATCCAGTAAATTATACTAACTGGCAATGAATTAGCGTGGATTAACATAAATCTAATCCATTGTAAGTGACTGGAATAGTTCAACGCATTTCACCGATCACTTCTGATTTTCCAAGCCATTGAAAAAAGGGAGCTGATCTATAATTATGAAAAGATAATTGCGATTCAATTCGCTGATTCGCAATTAAATAAATAAATAAAAACTAAGGTTCGCTTTCAAATGAACTGTGTCTGCCGCACGTTTCCTACATTTACAACTTTGATCTCACACGCGAGATCAATATAAATCAAGCCACAACTTGCCAAACGAGACCGCACTCTTCAATTGCTCTCTCGTCTTTCTAATTTGATCGATCATTTTGCTCTGGTAAATGATCCATCACCAATCACTGATCTTCCCATCGCGTGCAATCCTCTACTTGCAGGATTGCATACGACGCGCGGATCACACTAATTGTGATGAATGAGCGGAGATCAATGAACTTTATCCTTTTCAAAGTAAATATTCTGTCACACCCCCCTTCCCGAATGGTAAAAAGTGTGATCCAATTTCTTAAAATAAGCCAAACTCTTAATTAAAGTTTGCCGCGTGGAATAAGAACTGGAATGTAGAAACCTTCTTGATTCTTCGCTCGAATTACGTAGCAAGGTCAACACTATTCTGTAAAAATTTTTTTTCTCGTAAATACGATAATATTCCGGAAAGACGAGATTTCTCATTAATAATTCAAAGGGGCAGCCAACCATTACTTTTATTATAGACTATAGATAAAGAAGCAGCCATGCAAAACTGATACTTTATGAGGAAAATGGGATTTTGATTATTAGCATATTTTCTATTCTTTCGTCATTCCGAATTTGGGTTGATGAGGTCTTTTGTCATACATTGTCGTCTAACACCCGTTCGTAGTGTGTTTCCGTCCAGAATTCGAAGATAATGAACAGTTTTCGAATGTCCAACCACGTGGAATCCCTTTCACTTGGTTGAAATGAGCATGAGCGATAACGGATCGAGTGCAAAACTTACTTATAAACGTGATGAGCCCCTATATTTTGATTAAGTTTACTAACCAAAAAGACCCTACTTGCAGTACCTGCATCCTACCTAGATCCGCCATTACGAACGGAAATAAATCAGAAATTCTATCCATATTGATTCATTAATTCTTTCACTTGGAGGAAAGACCATCTAGATGGATCCATGGGTCCATCCAAGCAAGATCCATCTAGGGAGCAGGTGGTGCAATGCTTTTGCATTGCACCACCTGCTCCCTAGATGGATCAGCCATTAATCATGGAAATAAATAACATATTATATTAATATTGGCTCAATCATTTCACTTGGAGGATTCTCGTGGTCACGAGAATAACGGATCGCGAGCAAAAATTACTTTAGGGTCCCACACGTTTATATACCAAGTGAGCCCGTGCCCAAATTGAGTTGCACCAACTGCAACCTAGCTAGATCAGTCATTAATCATGAAAATAAATTAAGTTCTATTGTCATTGGCTCATTAAATCATGAAAAATTCTATATAAACCGCATAATTACACGAACCGTTTTAAGTAAGATAAATCTAATAATTGCAAATTAAACACTGGCCGAAGTAAATTGAGGTTTATGTTCTATTTCTAGATATAAAAACCTCAATTTATTCACCCTACAACTGTTAATTCGCTAAATTTACGCGTGGAATGCGTTCTAACATTACACAGAATTACATAATTACAAGTAAAGAGGGAAAGAGAGATACTCACCTTATACAACAAATATCCCTAAAAGCGATCAGATGCCATTCATTCACACTAATATACTACAAGATCCTACACATCCGCCTATTTATCACGGCGAGAGATGGGAGGAGTGACCTACATGTCTCGGTGTTGGCATCTTCCTTCTACAATTCAATGGAATCGGTGCTCTTCCCTTTTCTATCTGATGTTTCTTTGCATCGATACTTCACGGATCTCTGGCTCTAGCTGCTGACCGAATTTTAATTCTTCTTCGGTGTGACGTAACCTAAATTAATCCAGGATACGGCGGATAAACCCTCTCACTTTCCGTTTTTCTAGCGGCAGAACGTTGAAAGTTGAAAAAATAAACGTACAGAACGTGCGAAAAACGAGTTATCGATGCGTATCTTAATAATAAAAAGTAGTGTTCTTGAATTTCTCAATATATAGGAAACAATGGACTTTGGTGTGTTTTTTTTTCTTTTCTTTTTAATATATTTTTATTATAAAGATATAAGTTTCCTCCCTGTCAATTATTGGTTGATTGCTTCTAATAGAAAGAATTCGGCATCGATTCAATAGAACAGAACGGTAATAGAAACAATGGTTTAGAACACCTTTCGCCGTTCTGTTTATTATTTTGGTCACTGTTTGGGTCACGAGTTGAAGTTCTCTCTCATTAGTATTCTGTTTTTTCTCTTCTATAAGCAACAATACTCCGGACAGAATGGAGGATAAATGTTTAGAACTATTTTCGGGTTCGAATCCCATCCAGAACTTCATACATGTTCTCAATCCCTCACCAACGCTGATCGATTCCATTTTGAATCGGGCCACCCAAAATTGTTCCTCGCGTTAATAAATCAATCAATAAATCTCAGCATGATTACTCGTACTACCCACGAGGTTCTGGACTCCGGTAATTTATAATCCATCCTGACTCAAAATTGTATTACCTATGGTGAATTATACTCGGAACCCCATAATTTACCACAGGTAATACGAGGATACATGCCAAATTAGCTGACCATAGCAATCATTTCTCTCTCACGCTAAGAAATCAATAATAAAAACAGCAAACCACAACATGGATTTGTTAACGTGCGACGAATTATGGTACTGTTCGGTTAATTTTGGACGGTTTGGCCCATAGAGGAATCGATCAGCACGGATACTCGTACTACCTACAGTAAATTATACCCGGAACCCCACAATTTATCGTGGATAGTCCGGATATCAATAAAAAAACAGACCTCGGCATGGATAAATTATGGTGTTTCGGGTATAATTTGCCATAGGTAATAGGAGTATCGTGTCGATCGATTCGTATATGGGCCAGGCCACCCGAAATTAGCTAAGACAATGTCTTAACTTGTCTCGTGCATTAATAAAACAGTCAAAAAAAAGTTCAATGGCAGAAATCACCGTTACGTCTGGCTAATCACGAATCTGCCATCAAAACTTAATAGTTCTGCAGCAATTCAATAAACCGTTTACAATTAAAATATTTACTCTTTAGGGTATAACAAATGGGGCTACATTAAAAATAGATTAACAAATCTATCGGAGAGAATGTTTCTTTCCGCTTTTCTGAAGACGAAGTTAAAGAATGGAATGAAAGTTCCTGAACTTCGCCGTTACACCATTTTTATATTCATCGCACCGACGATTTTAATGAAACTTCGAGGATCTGTAACGTGGATCAATTGTTTGTTCGTTCGTTTGTCTGTTTAGAGGCCAAAAAAATCTATTAGCGGATCGTGTTACCGAATACTAAACAGCAAACAATCTATGAAAGGAGCCTGTTAAAGCTGTTATTTATTTATTGAAATTTATATATATATATATTTTGTATATAACGACTTATCTAGAATACAAGACGGTGGATCGTTAAGTGGAGGAGGATCTGGCACATTGATTTATCACCTTGGTAATGGTCCCTATCTAGAAGGACACGTGCGTACAGGTACTTCATACAAAAGAAGATATTGTCCTTAGAAAAATGCACTTTTTTATTATCTGACAAGGAACTTAAAGAGGAGGAAAGGAGAAATTGGGAACAAAATCTAGCAATTGAGTACACGTTGAGGGGAGACGTAAGATTTTCGGGTGCCCAGATCGTGCCAACCGATGGGTCCTATCTCGCAATCGGCGCAAGTCAGGTACTTGATGGAACCGACTGTGTTGCTAAATCCTACGTTTTCGAAGGTATAAATGTCGTCCACGCACCAAAATTCCTGCAAAGTTTCTCCTTCGTGCACTTCGGAACGAGAAGACTTGCGGTGCATAAATGGAAGAAAGTGCTGCAAATAAACAAAATAAGAAAAATAACGTTAGGGAAAGTAAATCGTGTAACATATAACAGGTCCCTTCCTCTTCCAAAAAATTTCATCTTTATTTGGTTTGTTTTGTTAAAGCAACGCGACACGTGGGCGATCTTCGGCCGTGACTTTCTACCGGAAACTGGCCCCTATTTTTAGGTGTTACAAACGTGAATAAAACCCGGGAAACTCCACGTAGCCAGGCGCGAGGTGGGCCATCTTTAATTGAGTTTCCTATGATGGGTTGAGTTATATCGGGCCTGTCAAACCGGTGGCAGGCCCGGTTTGAACTAAGCACGAAAAGGGCAAAAAAGACAGCACGAAGAAGGCCGTTTTGGGGCATTAACAGCTTGTTTTTCAAATTTTCCGCACTGTAATTCAAGCATACCATAAATTTCCCCAAAGAAAACTTAGTTCTTAGTCATTTTAAAACATTTTGTCTACAGAAACATTTTCCTATAAGTTATTTTCGCCACCCTTTTCCTTCTGGATCATACAAACTATTACCTTGTACAATACTTAATCACTAAGCTTAAATTGGTTATGAAGTTTAGTTATTGTATATTTAATAGATAAAAAACACGACTGTACAGTACGTGTCTTCAGATGCTTCAATTCCAAATTAATTGGATAATTTTAATGTTCGATGCCCACACTGCGTACGAAATTGTAATTTTGTATGGAGGGTGGGCATCAACAATTCTAATTTTATTTTAAAAAAAGCCTTTTAATTCTTCATTTATTTTATTCTTCAATTTTTATTTTTTTATTTAAAAATATATATATATATTTTTTTTTCCTTTTCCGAAAGAGGTTTGATGTCATTTGAGGTAAAAAAATTACTTTAAACATAACCTAAATACACTTTACAATGTACATTTTCTCAATGACAAGCAGAAAAACTCCTACTAAATTTATTTGTGACATTACATAAGTTAAATTCCAGGAAAATTGCGTGTTTTTATATTTTAAAACTTGTATATTTTGTAGTGGAAATTGAATTTTTGTTTCCTTTACTATTAATAATGTCGATTAATTTAGAGTTTAATCTTTAAACAGTTTAAAATTTAATTAAGTACTGTATTTTCGTGGATATAACCCGCATTAAATTGCTAGAACGAAAATAAAACCTTGGCATAACAGCTCTACCTTATACGACTGTGCTCTTTAGGCTGTTGCATAGGCCTCCAGGTATAACCCTCATTTTCAAATAACCTAAAGTGTCTTTCAAACACAACAACATGCAAGAAAATATGGTAATTACTTTTAGTTATAAAAAAGAAAAACATTTCCAGACAAGATGTGTGTAAAGGATATGCTAAAAAACTAGAAAAGGGTCTGAATGGGATGAGATGAGGCACTCACTAGTCATAATTGTGGGACTTCTTTCTAAAAGATACAGATAATATGTGAATTTTTCACCATTTATGCTAAGAAACTTTGATTTATATTGCTCTTCGGGTTAAATTTTAAGGCTCTCTACCCTCACTTGAGATAAAACTGTTTGCACGATGCTGCACTTAGAAGTTTTCTTCCTAAAACTTTGTGCTGCTCTCCCCTCCATCTATACCTAATGATAAACAATATTGCCATTTTGTGTGATCCACTCCAAGAGGACCCACTAGCAAATGTAACAAAATTATTGACACTTCTTTGGGGGGTTTAGACTGCAATTTCCTTAACTCAACACGATAGTCTTACACAGCCCAAACTTAGCATCCTTGCTATAGAAATGCATAAAACTTTAACAGTTTTAAGCCCATGAAATTATATTCTACCCAAAAAGACCCCCCCAACTATTGTTATCATTCATCTAAACAAAAAACTTCCTGTTTTGTCTAGACTCCTGTCTTATCCACATTCCAATTTCCTCTTTCCTAACATATTTCTACTATTATTTATATTTAGTTACAGAAATTTTGTTTAAATTATGTTTAAAACTGTTAAAATAATGCATTTTATATAATATTTAAAAACGTTATGTAAATATTTAAGTAAGAAATTACATAATACAAAGATCACTGGAGCGTAAACCTTCGTCTCCAGCAAGCCGAGACTCAAAAATTGTTTTTAAATCAAGAAAAAAACTTGCAAAATTTCAATTTAGAAATTAATAACTTAATTAATTACTACAATACAGTATTTATTCTTTACAATCGTCAATGGACTTTTGAGCCATCCTGGAAGCCATATCCGAATATAAGCTACACAAGCTACAGCTTAAGGCCTCACATTTTTACGTACATCATTATAGGGCAGAGGGGAAGGGCCTGTTACATGTTATAGCTTAGGACCGCAAGTGTAAGTCCACCCCACATTTTCTAATATAGAGATAACAGGTTTTAAGTAATTAAGCTTCATAAAAACTTACTTAAATTTCATTGAAGACCTTCCATTTTCATGGTCATGCACTGCTAAGTATCAATACTTAGCAGGAATTAATTGGTCTTTATCATCATTAAGGAAAGATCTTCCCTTAATGATGATAAAGTCCAAAACGAAGAAATAGATTTTCATTTTTTTTTTTTTAAATTTTAAATTAAATTTTAAGAAATACGCTGGAATGTTTCGTGACACCTTCTGTTTCAACAAATATTTTAATTCTTCAGATTATGATGCAGCCATCCATAGCCTGTCATCTACTTCGATATACGCTAGTCACTTTCAATTTTATTTTTCAATCAAAAAATTCAAACGTGATTATAGTTATTTTTTCTTCCGTGTCATTTTTGTCTTCGCTTACTAGGAAATCAAAAATTCCTTCCTGCTTAAGGTGTTTCCCAATTAAAAAACAATTTCCGAGCGGCACTACCTGACATTACGGAAGTCAAATTTTCAGTGTATTTATTACATGATCAAACACATTTTCAACATCTTCCTGCTTCCGTACACTCCGTACAACCTTATACACTGTTTAATAACTAGATGAAGTCACATGAAACTAGGTGTTATAGGCATACGTTGCTTTAAACTATGTTAAAAAGCTGCCGACAATGTTAGATTGTAGAAATTTTTAATAAAAACCACAGAAAACTCACACTTCCCTAAACCTAACCATACTTTTTCATTTGTGAGTCTATAATGATGAAACTGATGTAAGTGCCATGAACTTTAAGCATCTTCCATCAAAATTCCATCAGTTAGTTTGGGTGAAAGTGCTTTGGAGCATATTCATCTTTATAAATTTGAAATTTAAACTATGTTGTGTTGAAACATATATTTTTTCTTTATTGAAACATGCTGAAACACATTCTGGAGCATCATCTTTACACGAAAGTACTCCAGTGTGCTCCAGTAGATTGCAAGTTTTTTCTTTATAAGAGTACTTTCATCTAAAGGTGCTCCAGAAGGGATTCCATTAAAAACAGTAAAATGGATGGCCGATGCAGTTAAGAGGACAGCCTACTGCTGCCGGAGATCAAGAATCAAATCTGGATGAGCAATCCGAAGAATTTTTCGTGAATGTGTTCTATTATGTTCCTCACTATCCAGCCTCTCTCATTTGAATCAAGCCAAATCCAAAACGGCTATAGAAAAAAAAAGGCCCTCTTAGTGCCCTGATGATTTACTTTCATACAATATTTGTTTTCTAATTATGTTATTTACATTACGTTAAAGCCATTAAGAAACGTAAACATGATTTTATAATACGTTCATTCAAGTAAACACAATTTAGTTGTATTTCTTTTCCTTTTACATGCTTGGCGAGTTAACCGCCGAAGCCGAAATATGCAGAACCAATGAATGTCGTAAATGACACGCAGTATAATAAACATAACGATTTAATTGCGTTAATAAATCTCAATTGCAAACAAATTTAGAAAAAATAAAAATTGCATTATCTTTTAATATAACAATTGGAACCGAATACGATGTCGTATACTACTTTTTTTTGCCATATCACAGCCTTTTCAATTGATTTTAATAAGGTTAAATATATTATAAAATGAGGAAATATACAAAAGATTATTACAAAATATATATATTTTTTATTTTTATTTTAATATTGTAATGGCATTTAAAATAGCTTTAAAGTTAGTAAATTTGATATGTAACTGTAAAGTCAGGATGACTTTCATGTTCTTAATATAAACATATGTATACAAGATGTACCATAAGACTGGAACTGTAGAAGTTGGGTTGATCTTTGTTTACTTTTTTACAGATAAAACATTACATGAAGCAAGAAAGAACAAATTCAAGCTGTTTTGATGACAAAAACCCACAGGGCAAGAAGTTGCCGAAGAGTTTAACAGGCTCCATCATTTCCCAATCACACAGCCTCGTCAACACAGAGCTCAATACATTTACAGTACTTTGATAGAAGAATTTAGTTATTCTTAAAGAAAAACAACTCTCTCTACAAATAAAAAAATATTTTCTGTTTGTCGGTAACAAGTAACCATAAATTATTGGAACTTAAGAAAGATGTTAAATTAATTATGGAATGAGATTTTAGTGCAACACGAGTACCTTAACGTAGAGCAGCATTTAGTATGAAATCACTTTTGGATCTTTCAGAAGTAATGTTTAACAGTGATAGAATAAACTGTTTCATTTGTAACCTCTGTGGCAGAATAAATGTATATTATTTTCCTGGCTGTTATAATATGACAAGGTATTGCCATTTTGTCAAATATGCAAAAAACCATCCAGGTTTTTCAAAAACTTTTTGCACTCTCAACATTTTGATACCCCCGAATTCAAAGTAAAAAAACAAGAAAATATACTGTGGATGTGTGTGTATGTATTTTGGCATCTATTTTGTTTAATATATCAGGATGGGATAAAGATTAAGAAACGAAATTTTGCATTTGTATATAAGGGGCATTGATGTTATGAAATTTCGGAGTGGGAGATAGAGAAATCAGATGTCGTATCTCAAGTCGGGGTAGGACTTGTAATGTTATAGTGTTTTTTTAAACTTAAATATTTTTTAAATAGAGATTTTATCATAATTCAACAAAATTACTCCTTTTAAAGTTTTGTTATTACTTAAATGATTCCTAATGGACCCCTTAACCTCCTGTTCAAGTGTTGAGAAAGTCAAGCAAGAGTCTTTCTAGCTTTTTTAATGTTTTAACCACTTACTTCTAACATTGTTTGTACTTGCGTTGCATTTGTTTAAAATTACTAATTAATAAATTGAATTTTAATGAAAATTGTCTTTAATTTAGGATGGACTATTATAACTTTTAACTGGTATAGAATGATATTTCCTGTATAAATATCCGAATATTCACTTCTAAATTCACTGTCTTTTCAATCTTTTATCTTATCATAATCATCATGGGTTTGGCCAAGACCACAAGAATGTGCCTGTGGAAATTGACTGAATACAGGAAAAAGTATTTATGTCACTCTTTCATATACAACAAGAACTTTTATATCTTGAGCCACACAATTTTTATGACACATCTTTGGGACACCTTTTATTATTTTTTTCCTAGACTAAAAAACGAGCATGAATTGGGAACCTTTCAAATTTTTCATGATCGCTGTCCCATATATATTAGTTTCCGTCCCTTTCTAGCTAGTTACCCTTATTGTTGGCCTGGCCAAACCAATAACAAGCATGAAAAAAGGCCTTATTAGTGTCTGCAGACAAGGTCTTTTTCTCACGCCCATTGTTATATACAGGGTGGTTTAAAACTGTGGGAACAAACTTTGGAAATGGATTCCTGGTAACATTTGTTGAGTTTGTTGAGAACCATGGAAGACACTTTGAGCTTCTGCTGTGATTCTGTCTGAGGTACATACATCATACTGTTGCACAATCTTATATCCTGTGTATACAGTTCATAACACCCAATAGTGTCATATATCCTGGCACTGGTGCATTCCTATTGACGTAAGTCCATATGTTAATAGAACCATTGTTGTTCTTTGTTTTGATAGGAATCCATTCCCAAAATCTGTCTCCGTAGTTTGGAACCACCATATATAATGCCCTGGTGAAAAATAATAGCAAGTATAAGTTGTATATGTTCTTTTAATAAATAACCAATTATAGATATGAATTTTGATGCTTTTAGAAATTGTCTACCCATCAAAGACTTCTAGAACTGTCTAAGCTTACTTGATTCATGTTAATAAAGAAATGAAGTCAGTGAAAAATTTTGATCATTCAATCAATTTAAATAAATAATTTAAACAATTTAAAATTCATTATATTAATAAAAAAAATAGAAAGCATTTGCATCATACAAGGAAATTGTAATCTTCATTATATCTTACTTACTTCGATTTCTACGTACGTTGCATTATTTGGTTTAAGTATTTTCGAAGAACATCTCTGACAAATTATAGTTTGTTGATTCTTGCTGTCTTTTGTTAAATTAATATCTGCAAGAGACGACTGGTTATTTGTTTCTGATCCCTCTTTGTTCTGTAAACTTTCTTTTTCATCTTCTTCCATGATATTCTAAAGAATAAAATTTTTAATTAATATTTTTCATTAAATTGTTAAATCAATGTTGTTCAATAGAAATTTTCTTTTAATATGCAATAAAGTATTAATGTGCGACAGAAGTTTGTTACTCTGGCAACCTCTAGCCAATAATCTGGTATTGTCCAATGATAATCCAGCATGCTAGTACCCTACAAATCAAAATTTCTTTGGATACGTGGTGCAATAATCGCAAGTGTGAATTGAAGCAAAGGTGGAGTGCTGCATTGCACAATGTACGGAATAATTAAAGAGCATGTGTAAACAAAGCACTGGTACAATATGTAAGGCAGTGTTTGTAATGTTTGGATTGTAGACTAATTGAATTTTGCAAAGTACAAAAGCATCCAGTAATCTGGAACTTTTGATAAACTGTCACCTCTGTAGTCCCGTAGGTACTGGATTAACAAACTTTATAGTATTTTTTAAGATTACTTACATAAAATATAAATCAAAATATAATTTCCACTTATTAATTTCAGACAGAGACAACAGGACTTTCTGGCAGCCTTATTCATAGTGATTCGGAAGTCTCCATACAAAACAGAGCATACAAAGAGACATATTTGTCATGTGTTTGCACACATACTATATGCATTAATGTGCATTTATTGGGAGGAAAGTATTTGTACTTGCATTTAATTAAATGGTACTAACACAAATTATATTCTGTGACTTATAAGTAATTGCCAGAGAAGGTAAACCTCGTGTTATGAATGGAGACTCGAATCACCTCATAGTTTACATTTATTGGTCATTTAACAGAAATTCTTTAACCTATTCCATTAAAAGCACTTCTATCTTTAGAGAAGAAAGAAGAAACTATTGCTTTTAATGAAGTAATAACTACAAAAAATTAAATATCGTTCAAGCAATTTTGAGCTTAACAACTCCTCCTCAGGAATGCAAAAAATGTTTTGTTTCTGAAGAAGTGGTGTTATTACAGACAACAAATTACTGTGGAACAATGTGATGGTTACCATAGGATACAGCAGCTGTCAATTTGGCAAGATAAATGCATTTTATGCAAATTCCAAGACTCATATGTATGCACCTGTTTTCTTTTCAGAGATTACCATGACCGAAATGACATATCTAGACTTCTGAAGAAGTGACTACAAGAAAAGACAGATTTGATTTTTCAGCAGGATGGGCATCATCTTGTAAGATGTGCATTACAAGCTTATCCAGATGACATTCTTCCAGAAAGACAGATTAGCCATGCCAAAAAAATGCCAGCACTCTCGTACATTGGGCCCCCAGATCTCCAAATCTTATACTTTTTGATTTATTTTGTGGTTACATAAAAGGCCTCATGTTTGTGCCACCACTGTCCCATGATTTGGATGAATTGATGAATCAAATAAGCGAAGAATTAGCTACTGTCACATGGAATGTATGGTATAGATTATCGATTAAATGTTTACAGTATGACCAGTAATGTGCATATTGAATTATTGCAATGATTGCGAAAATGTTGAGTGTTTTTCTTCCCTGTGGGTACAAGTTTCATGTTGCCAATATTTGTAATTGTTCAGAAATAAATTTTCAAAAAGTGTCAAATCATTTTGAAAAACTCTGTATCTAATAAATTCATTGCAACTTATGGTTCATTATAAATATATTGTAGTTATGTTCCAAAAAGCATGACTTATAATGAAACGACATATCGAGCATAGTTACTACGAAACTAATATAGTGTTACGCAGGCGATAACAGACCAACTAAACTATTCAAACTTACATTAAGATGTACAGATATATGAATAGAAAATACTCATTTTTATTGTAAAATTATAATAACTATCTGCTTCTTCTGGAGTATTAAAAAATTTTCTATAACCTAAGTGCCTTTGGATGATTCTCATCCATTTTCAGAGTCAAAATTTCATTAAATGCTACTTTTATCACAAACACTTTGTCTCCCTTTTTAAATTCAAATTTAATCTTAATTCTCCGACATCTTCCCAAAGTTTGATCTTCATTCATACTGCATTATTCTTTTTAATATTTTTTTAAGTTTCAATTCTTGTTATAGATAATTTCATAACATTCCAGGAACAGCAGGTAGTTATTTTTATTGTATATTAAACTGTAATATAGTATAATTTATTGTAATTGCTAAATATAATAATTTAGAAAACACGGTATTAAAGTATTAATAAAGCATAAAATAATGAAAAGAATAAAAATATTTGAGATGAATACATACATAGTCCTGTTCAAATGTTATACATTGATATACTGTTCCTAATTAATTGGCAATATTTATACAAAACAATGCAAAGCAAAGATCTTTCTTACTTATGTCGGACTTATAAAATTTTGGCATATTATCTGTTTGATGAAATAAGGCAATACAACCCATGGGTGATCTGCCAAGGAGTGTTTCTTGGACGGACTTTCAAAAAGAAAATGGCTAACTTAGATGTGAAGGAAACCTGAAAAACTCCACATGGCCATCCAGTTTGTTGGGCGCAAACAACCAGTGTTCAGCATTTTATCCACTCAGCTGTTGGCAGTCAATTTTGGCATATTATAAGTTTATGCAACATGGCAGCATCACTAATGCATCATCCTACTGCAACACCTTGCAAGCATTACAAATGCAAATTCAAAGTAGGCAACCAGAAAGCTCACGAATGGGATCATTTTGCTTCAAGACAAAGCATTCCCTCGCGGCTGAAAGGACAAATGACCCATTACAGCAGTTTGAATGGAAGTGTTCAAGCATCTCCCTAAAGTTCTGACCTGTTGCCTTTCAACTTTGACGTTTTTGAAGGATTGCAAAAAAAGACAGGTGATTTTCCTCAAATGCCAAAATGCAAGATGCAGTCCATGACTGGTTCTGCCAGCATCCCACTACATTCTACGAATGAGGCATAAGTAGGCTTGTGTTAGCGGGATAAGTGTACGATCAGCCAAGGTAATCACTGTTAAAAGAAAATGCTTATATTCTATGCTGTTGCTTTTGACTGGTTACTTATTGATCCACCTTTACGATCTAAAACAACTTTCCCTAAACAATTATCTTCTTTAGGATTATATATCAACTTTCTTTAAAGTAAAATATTCTTTTATCTAATAAGTTATGTTAACATTTATCCAGTTAAACTAACCGCCTACACATTTAAATGATACGAAATGATCAGTAAAGTTCTTTTCCACTGTAAACATTCAAAAATTGCTATTTTATACAAATTTTTCTGCGGGAGAATTGTCTAAACTTTTGCTGCTAAGTTTGTTTAATGCAAACTTAAATGCTGCTTCTAATAACATATAATTGTGTTCTAAAAATGTGTGTCCAATATCATTGTTCTTCAAGTTATAAAGTAAGGTAAGCATTCTGTAATTGCTTTATGATGATTATTTAAATTTCTCTGTTAAAATAAAAACTGTAATTAGTAATAAAGTATCATATAACTAGCATCCTGTAAATCTGAAACGATAGATGTTGTGCTCAGCTTTGTTTATTGTTTTACAAGAAAAGCATGGCACCAAATAAGGAAAAACAGACTAAAGTTATTTTGATGATGAAAATGCGCTGTCGGCAAAAAGCAAATCAAGACTGTGGGATTGATGAAAAGGCTGGATGCAGCCCATTAAACTCTTCAGAAACTACACACCAACAGCAAGTCCCATCAAAACAACTTAAACCTATTCCTTCTTACTTGGCGTCATGCTTTACCTATAAAAGAATAAACAAAGATGTTTCAGACTTATGGGACACACTGTGTAATTCACCAAATAATTGCAATAAATTTTTCTTTCCAATTATTTTTAAATATGGATTTAGACCAGTGTTTCTCAACCTCTAACGAATCGTCGCCCCCCCTAGTAAAACCGTTACGTAGTATCGCCCCCTTCACTACAAAATACCGATGCCGAGGGCAGAGACTAACGCCAAATTCGTACTGCATTGAATAGACTAGTGACTATTATAAAGTTATTTGTTTAATTATTGTACGATATAACGAATAAAATATCTAATTATTCTTAATATAATGTTTTACTATATCGCCCAGAAAATTGTTTTTTACCCCCCAAAATATAAATTGTTACTAATCGCCCCCTCAACATGGAAAAACGCCCACATGGGGGCAATATCGCCCCTGTTGAGAAACACTGATTTAGACTAATACATATCAGTTTGTTTTGATTACCCTTGGGATATTTCCTTGAGTGGATATTAGGTTTACACTCTAGCATTTATTTATATTTGAGCATCGTTTATTACATATTAATCTTTATGTAGCTTTATATTTTATATTCAGAATAATTACATGCTAATTTCTATACACAATGCTTTCAAAAACAAATATTTACTTAATAAATATGATTGATTTAATCTCCACTACACAAATCTAAAGTGCTTAAACTTAATCCTTCTTTATGATTTTTAATACTGTATACTGTACTCCATTATGGCAAGTTGGGATAGAGTCTTGGCAGTGGAAAATTTCTGCCCATCACGATTCACAAGAGTCAAAGATACATCTTCTGCCTTTCTTCATGGTTATCTGGAAACAGTTACCCGGAGGATGGTCTCTCCGGAGGTAAAGTTGGTGTCAGCTGGTGTCATACTTTTCTCCTATTGCACACAATAAGTCTCTCTTTTGCTATAAAAACAAATGTACTGGGTATTGCTGGTAAATAAGTCACAAACCATAGGCAAACTGTAATTAGTGTGTTTTTCCATTTTGGTACAATTCCCTGGCAATGGATGGCGTGGGTCTGTACAATGACCCCTACAGCTGAATCTTTATCTGTTGGACCCCCATTTACAAACAGAAGATTGTGTTATTTATTCGAGACCAGAATTACATCCCCTAAACCTTGCTAGGTATGTGGAATAATTGGTTGCACATCTGAATTCATGTGCGCAAGAACAGCAATGAAAAATCTGTGTTGTCTTACTTGAGACACACCATACTGTTTATATAATCAAGATAAATTATCTTTACATTAAAGAAAAGA